ATGAAGTAGGTAAGCAGGGCATTTTCGAACAAGGACCAGCGTAAAGTTAAGAAACTCTCAACGGTCAGCGGGAACAAAGATTACGGGAATGATAAATCAAACAAAACAAACAATACCTATTTATAGACGTTATCAAAATCATTGTCTAAATAAAAAAAAATCATCGCAAGGAAGAAATCATCTAGAAAATGCATTCAGTATTTATTTGAGTGTCAGTGTAAATTTGATTGCTGAGGAGAACTGGATTAGAACGTGTGTTACTTGAAAAGTAAAGAGATCATTGTTGATGATAACAACAAAGTTCAAGTTTGTTTACTGGTGAAGTGAATATCGTAACAGAAACCAATTAAGGTGAATTCAAAATGTCAATAAGTGTATCTAGAGTGGTTGCGTGCTTACAATAAAAATGGATTTCACAAACTAAAAATGTCTATGAATATCCTGGCTGCATCGGTGGTGTCAGTAAATATTAGTATTGTTGATTGTGGTACATAAATAAAATTACTAGTGCAATACAAGGTATAGAACTAAACAAAAGAACTAAGTTTACCAAGTTAGCATGTACACTTTGCCGTGAAGGTAGACAGTCTGGACTACCTTTTTCTTTAGGGTGTTTCATTCCCACCAGCCAGTAATGTTGGTGGGCGGGCAGTCCCTCCGAACTATGCCGGAAGGTAGGGCGGAAGGTCCTCTTCAGCCTGCTTTCAGGAATCGTGAGAAAGATGAGACGGACGAAATGAAGACAGAAGAGAGTGAAAGATTATCTGTGGAATATTACTGCCTCAGCATTTGCCTAAGTGATCCAAGGAAACCACAGAAAACTTGGACCAAGGCAGACGGACCCGGAATGGAACCGGCGTCCTCCCGAATGCTAAGCAATGGTCTAAACTTCCAGGCCATGCCGCTCGGTCTATGGACTACCTTCCACCCACACATTAACGCTAAAATTATTGAAGAGCTTGCTGTTTTATATTTTTCATCGGTCTCTACTGTCTGACCTACGTTTGCTTCTTAAAAGGAAAATGTGAAGCGTTTGAGTATTTCTAGCAGTACAAGCAGAAAATCGGTTAAATCAAATAACTAAGATTTCACGCAGTGATAATCAAAAAGAATTTTGCAATAAAGTGTGCGACGATCATTTGGACAAGTATTGAATAATCTTACTTCATACACCCGAGGAGAATGGTAAACGTTTCAATTGAACAAAATGCCTTTTATTTGATGATGGTCTTCATAAACACATTTGAGCTGAGGCGACCAATATAACCGTGTACTAACAAAATAGGACTTTGACATCATCTCTCAATAATAGAACACCATTTGGAAAGGCAAAAAGTCAGATAACAGTCATTTATGAATATTCAAAACGGTCATAGCTCATGTGGCAAGAGAAAAGCACTGAAATTGTACGAAAATTAGAGAGGCATATCCTATTGTCCGGAAGACCGAAATGATTGGCATATTTTCCCCGGGAAGAAGCAAGTAATAGTCAGCAGAGAACGTGATAATAATGGAAAAAGTAGCTAAATAAATCGCAAAATTTGGTACCAGTGAAAGAAAGTGTGAACGGTAATCAAGAGAGCTTGAATTCAGTGGGGAAAGCTTCTACTGATGAATCAGAAGCAGTAGATAATCTGATTAAACTAATTATACGTATGTATACTCCGAGTTATTATGAGAATGCAAAGTCAACTAAGTCCTATGAACCATTGCATGAGAAGACACACAATCAGGTTAAGAAGAAAACCTACTGAGAGATATTGATGCTCGAATATCTGTACTTGTAAGGATGCATTTGATGATGGTAGTACTCAGCGGTTTATTCACAGCGGAAACACTAAAACGATCAGAAAAAGACTATGACTAAAGACTGCTACGGAAGTGTTAAAGAAGACAATAGTGCATAGAGGTTAAAAAAAATACGGGCTAAAATAATCTTCTATGGCGTAATATAAAAGACTAGATAAATACAGGTCTGACGAAGGAAGCTGGCGAGCGGTCGCGCAGGTACTTGCCCATTTATGACCTATTTGGGTAAGTCACTTGGAACCGATACACAAATAAGCTTTCAGTAGGCGTAAATTATAGTATTAATACAGATAAGACAGTAGCGTACTAGAAAATAATATAAAAACATGACTTATCAAAAAGAAAAAATTAACCTATTGCTTTTGTTTTATAGTTAGTTTTCACATTCACTGTCATCATCAGAATCTCTATCACTGTCACCAACATCAACAATTAGTTCTTCTGTTTGTATGTTTATTACTTACTCACTGACCCCTGCTTTTAAATATTTAACCTACGCCCCTGATAGGAATACTGAAGAATGAGGGCTGCAATCTTTATACGTAAAACTGCCTACTTTTGCCACCGCGCATCCACGCCATTTTAAAATTTCCGCCAGCTTCCAGCGTCAGGCCTGTATCATGTTGCAAACGCTCAAAAATTGATTTGACTGTACATGAACAATAATAATGATAAGAAAACGATTGTCAGAATCTATTGTGACCGGATCTCACCCGAGTAGGGGACGAACTCGTCGAAACTATCAGATTCAAATAAGACACAAATAAATCTTCGAAAGATGTTTTTTTTATTTCATCGATGAAGAGGCAGCTGAAGACTGCTTCTTAATATTTTAACCTCTACAGAAATATTTGTTTTAGGGAAAATAATTTACTTCTTACATAAATAACTTAATTGCTTAAAATCCAAACACTTTCACCGCCGCTGTTCAGTAAGTAAGCCATTTGATTTTTCTTACTAAGGATAAATGCTGTTGAGCAACCAGCCAGATAATGCTACTTGTGAAAGAAGGTTCAAAATAGGAAACTGTTTTTATTTCCGATGTATTTTATTAACAAACAAAAAACATTCTACAAATGGTTGTTTACAAAAACATGATACAAAGCGTTGCCCAATATATGGAATATATTGACACCGTAATTGACCTTAGAGTGGCTATTTTAATTAAACTGATTAATAAACAAATGAAGTTGTAAGCGGAACTAAAAGGATGTATAATAAATAAATAAATAAATTATGATTATGCATGCAGACAAACTGAAAACAGAGTTTTAATGACCCTAATGGACGTATATCAGAATGAAGTATGAAATATGCCTATAAGTATTCAAAATAATGTTCAGTAATCCTTTTTATTACCACTTTTCTAATTTTATAATTATCAGTCAGTTCCTTTCCCAAATATATAGTTAATAATGAGGTGAAAACTCCACAGAGTTTTGGGTCTAGAAGTTCCTTACTTTATAGCAATTACAAAAACAATATTGAGCTTCATAGTACGCTGTCTAGGACCTTTTACCACCTCTTCCATATCACTTGTAGATCTAAACTAATTCAATCAATTCATATTTTTTATTTGTTTATACAAGTAATGTTTACGTTACCCCTTTCGGCTTTAATATTTATTGGTCTGAAATACATTTGGTGCTACACTTTATGTTATGTTTGATAGGTATTCTTTAATTTAATATTCAATTATTTGTTCAGAATATCCCGAGTCGAAAAATTGGGACTCATTTTATCCTCAAATGAACTATTTAGACTCATTTTTTCCTCATTTAGACGTTTTTAATCTCAGATACCTCAATAAGTTTTCATAAGACTCATCACATTGGATTCTAAAAAGTCTCATTTTATTCTCAATGTCTGCAATCCTATGGCAATAGTCCTCAATTTAACCTCAACAAGAAAAGAATGAGACTTTTTGAAGACAAAATGAGGTTTCCTAAATAATCTTTACTCCTCAAAAGTCTCATTTTGTCCTGATACGGGAAAACCGCGGATAAAATGAGACTTTTGAGTCTTGTAGTTTGAAATATCCCTAAAAATTCTATTGAGATCAAATGAGGACAAAATGAGTCCCAATTTTTTGACTCGGGATCCTTCCATGACAAAAAATGAAATTATTAAAAATTATGCACCAAATCCTTGTCCGTAAGATTGATCTTGCTACTGATAAACAACATCAGGAAATTATCTTTACAAGATGCGTCGTGAATTCAGTTTGACAGGTAAATATCATCATAAGGACTTTTCAAACTTTCCAAAATAATCAGGAGCAAATATAGGTATATATGGACATGGCTTGTTATTATTCCAAATAGATAGGAGGCTAAAAAATATAAACAAGGATTTTTTTTATGTTTTCGTGGAAGAGGGGAAATCTTCAAAAGACACCCAACTGTCCGTACGAGTGGGTAGTGTCGGATTCCCGAGGAAGAAGTCCTCGAGCCTACCGACTAAAACCCCTCTACCTCTGGCCGTTCTAGGACCAACTAAGGTCCTCTCCAATCGTAAACAAGGAGACTGTGGTAAATTAATAAATAAATAAAGTAGGGGACTCACCCCAATTACCACTAATACAATTTTATTGAGCGGACACGTGTTTTGACCACTAGCGTTTCGCATTGAAGTGGATGAAACACGTGTCCGCTCAATAAAATTATGTTAGTGGTAATTGGGGTGAGTCTCCTACTTTATTTATTTAGATAGGAAGCTCTTTCTATGACCAGTAATTCATAACCAAAGATCGGTAAATTGCAAACTCAAAAACCTCTGAGAAGTATACATTCCCTTCCATTTCTATTCTAATCAAAGATGTTAATTCACTCCATACCTTAATAAAAGTAAGTAAATTGTATCTAGCACTACTCTGGCTATTGCTTTATGGAACTATTGTTTTAAAACGCAAAATAAAATAACTGTCAGATTCACATTCCAAGACTTTATTTAATTAGTTATATAATAATTATTTCGCCCTATGAGGACATCTTTATTAAAAAAAACTTGTACATGTTTTATTCCCAACAGTATTAGTTGAATTTCTGACTTTTTTTAAATACGCAACTTTTATTTGTAGTTAAATTGTTGTTTAAATGATTCCACCATACATATATGGAATTTTACTGGAGAAGGGTATGGAGTTCTTGGATAACAATGTAGATAAAGCAGTTTATTTTTTCACCAATAACATATAAAAGGTCAGTCATTCTCATTTATTTCCATATATTTATCTGTTCTTCAACGAGAAGTAAACACAAGCATGGGTCTACAAACGTTTATTTTGTTAGGAATCGTTTCGGTATTAAATTTAATTTATTTATTAATTGTTAATATTTTTCCTTAAGTTCTTCCATTTCATTTCTTCTAGTCGAGCTACTTCATGCAATACCAATTTTTAAATTGTTATTTGTTATCAGATATCAGTCATTAATATTTGTGTGGCTTCTGTCATTTACGATGCAACTGGAAGTCCAAAACCAATGTGGCCCATTTTATGGCGTGACCCTTCGGCAACTTCCACCGACTTCCTTGCAAGGGCTCAAGAAATTGCAGCTGCAAAAGTTAACAAAGGATTTGAAATGAAGAAGGAAGGAATTAAAATTGCCCAACAATCGATGATGAACAAATTTGTGAGTTATTATAAAATTTTAAATTAACCGAATATACTGGAGAATTAAATCTAACAAAAGATTTTATTTTTTAACAGGAAAATAATACAAAACATTTTTTTGTAACTCTGTAATGAATTTAAGATTATTTTTATTCATAAACTGTGTAAACTGATTCAAAAAAACTCGTTGTTGAATATCTATAAGTAATGTGTCTAAAAACCTTCATTTCATAAATATTTTTAGGCCATGTTAGGCGCTGATGAGAGCAAAAAGGCTACAACAAAACAACCCCCAACAGTAAGTAATATACATCAGACGTAATTTTATAAAAAAGATTAATAGCTTTTAATAAGAATTTTTTATTTTTTACTAACGATAAGTAGGTGTAGTACTTTACGGCAAATTACTAATACCATCATGAATATTTGAGATGCAACAAATTAAAAACATTTTTGTGTGTTTTTAGACTCCAGAGCTGAGCCCAAACACTGAACGACTATCCTCTTACAATCCACAATTACCATATTCTTCATCTGAGGTCTCCGAAGTAAGTTTCTAAATTGTGTTATTGCAAATAAATACTTAATATGGGTTAATTTTGCTGGTAATTTTGAATACTTTACTTTATTATTTATTAGTGGAACAAACAAATCTACTAACTTGTTTCCGCTTGGAATTAGCACGTTTTGAACACATCATTGTTAAGTTACAAAATGCTTCATGAGAAGTAAAAACAAAGTGAAAAGAGATAACGGAATAATAGTAAGCGGTGCAACGGTTAGAGGTTGCTTAGGCATGCAAAAGATCAAGGTTGGTTTTGTGATTGCCTGGTTTGAATTATATCTTTAAACAAACGTCTTCGCATGTCTAAATTCTGGAGAATGCTGAACTTTCTTTAAAGTCCGATGCTGGTGACATTCTCAAATTCTGCTTGTCTGTATCTCTTTCTGTTACACATAAATTGGTATAACGTTATTTCTTTTTATTTATTAGTGTCCGCTGCAATTCATACGTGACATCTCTTTTCTATGTTTACGATATTCCCTATAACGTCTGTCGTGAGTAAGTAGGCATTCCATTAACAACCGCTCTAGTGTAGTTAGTAAGTTGAACGAAGAAAGCAAATGTGACAGTTTTATTGCGAACTGTGCCAATTTTGAATGTTCCAGCTATACTTTATAAAATTTTTCCATTATTCTCTCTGTTTATACAGTTTGTAGAGTGTGTTTTATTTTATTACTATACTACTAATTGCTTCATGAATTTTGAATAAATTACAGTGGCGTACTCACACATTTAATACGATTTTTAAAAACGTGAACAAAACTGCCATTTTTAATGTGTATTTAAATAACGTAATTACAACATACACAATGTAAAAGTCAATAGTTAAAGTGCAATAAATGAAGATTTTGAATGTTGATTAAGGAAATAAAGGTATCTTTTTCTTTCTTATGGTAAATAAACAGGTCAGTAGATATATTGTTCTATTAATAAATAATAAAGTAAATTTACGTTTTTTCCTTATAATCGGCAAAATTAAACTAGAGTGACTATAAGTTCTTGAAATCATGTCTATAATAACTCAAAAAATATTTCTTTTTTTTTTAGGAAGACCTACTATCGGTTTAACAGGGATAACAGCATTAATTACTTTATAAATGTTTTGCACAAACTAAGGTTTTTGTTTACAGTGACATTTGTTAATGTTTATTGTTTTGTTGTTTATAAGTTAACTTGTTTGTTGAAATTGTATAGATATTGTGGAAAATTAATACTTACTCATGCGGTAGTGTTCCATACGATAAAAGTTTAATTATCGAAAGCTATAACTAATTAGGTGAACCAAATAATTACAACTATTCCATGAAATAAGTAATTAGGTACTTCAACAACGTGTACCGATGAAGATTTTATCTGTCCCAGATATCGAAATGAAATACAATTTTTAATTGAATGAGAGATAGTAATCAAACTTTTTTGACTTCATTTGTATCTTTCCTTTTTTTAATTGTCGAAAATATATTTACAAGAAATGTGAAGTATTTTTTGTTAGTTGATTGACTTTTTTATGTAATTAGTTATTACCAAAGAAATAAATGCTGTTATTGTTACACGAGTTGTTTATTTACGTCTTTATATATTTTCTCAATTTCCTTATAGGCTTTGGTCAAGAACATAATCATCATCATCATCATAAGGTCATCAGTCCTAAGACTGGTTGGACACGTACCTCCACTCCTTTCCATCCTGAGCTAAACTTCGCATTTCCCTAAAACTAGAACAACCCACATGCTTAACTATTTGCGAACAGTAATCTAATTTAGGTCTACCTCTACCCCTCCTAACTCCTGTTTCTTCCTCTAATATGTCTGTGAGTAGCCCTTCATGCCTAAGAAGGTGTCTTACCAACCTATCTCGCCTATTTTTTATTGACTTCCATAGAGTCCTCTGTTCTCCTATTCCTTCCAATACCTCTTCATTTCTAACCTTTTCTACCCACGATATCCTCATCATCCGCCTATAACACCACATTTCGAACGTTTCTAACCTTTTCTTTTCCGCCGCTCCCACTGCCCATGTTTCGCACCCGTACAACGCCGTGCTGCAAACATACACCTTTAACAACCTTTTTCGAATTTCTAAATTAACCGTTCGCGAGCATAGAAGTTACTTCTTTTTATTAAAGGCGACACGACCCTGGGCTATCCTCTACTTTATATCCCTCCTACTCCTTCTGTCCAGACTTATCTGACTTCCTAGATATCTAAAATCAGCCACTTCTTCTAATTTTTCGTCTCCTATCCTTATATTCGCTCTTTCCCTACTTTTCTTCCCTTGCATACCAGTATTTTAGTTTTACTTTTATTTATTTTCATACAGTACTGATCTGTCAGTACCGCTTCCATTTTATTTAAAGCTATCTCTAGGTCCTCCTTGCTAGATGCTAATACTGCTATATCATCTGCAAATCTAAGCATACTAATCTTTTACCCTCGCACATCTATCCCTACAGTTGTACTGTCTTTAATGATGTTGATGGCGTCTTCGATGTATAGATTAAAAAGTAGCGGTGACAGTGTGCATCCCTGCCTGACTCCCTGCCTAATATTTACTTCTCTACGTTGCATCCCCAGCTCTATAACTGCCTGTTGCTCTTTATACAAACTAAGTATCACTCTTCTATCTTTGTAATTCATTCCTACATTTTTAAGTATATTTAACATCTTGTCCCATTTAACATTGTCAAAAGCATTCTCTAAATCTACAAATCCTACGTACGCACTCTTTCCTTTTTCTATCGTTTTCTCTATTTCTACCCGTAAAGCTAGAATGGCCTCCCGCGTTCCTCTATTTCTTCTAAACCCAAATTCTTCCCCTAATAGTTCTTCCGCCCTAACATAATATTATTGTATAATTGCATTTAAAATGATTACTTTTCAATTTTAAAATCTGGGTCATAATAGGGTTGTAAACGATTAATTGTTGAAAAAACAACGGCAATGTTTCGCCTCTAGTAAGGACGACTTTTCAGGGCTGCAAAATATTGGTAATTTCAATTTCATTCGTTAATACATACAAACGATTATGATAAATTTGTTCTTATTGTAATGTCCGTTTGTTTCACCACATTGGTTTTTAGCTATTTATTTATTTATTATTCGATTAATATATTTCCACCACAACTGATTTTTGTGCCATTTTAAAAAAGTTAAATTGGCTATGATTTATCACAATTAATGTTCCTATTACATTAAAATGATTATTTTAACTTACATTACTAGATTTTAAAGTCCAGAAGGTCTTAATTACAAACTAAGTGTGTAGTAAGTAGCTTTAGCGTAAGATATTAAAATTAGAGACAATAATATAAAAACAGGAACAGACGAGTAAAAACAAAGTACCTAATATATAAATCATAGATATAAATAGTTTAAAAACAACGAAAACAAGATATGTAGATAAAATAATAAATAATTACGTACCTAGTTAAAAAAATGAAAGCCTCGTGGTAGCACTGAGACAGTACAATTAGGAATACTAGGAATTAATAAAAAATTTTAAGCAAAAGCTATTAAAAAACCTTGAATTTTGGTACGTGTATTGTAGCAGTTATTTACTAAGTAATGTCGCAGTAACATTATTTGGCATATTTAATTATTCGTAATTGTACTGTCTGGGTGCTACCACGTGGCTTTTGACTTTCATTTTTTATTATTTCACTTAAGTTCGTGTGTTTTTATTTTTAATTAATATCACTAATTCTAATATTTTGTATCAAAACTCTGGCCATGCGGATTTACTAGAACATCCAATTATGGCATATTATAATGGCCCTAATCAGGGATTAAAGAGTAAGTAGCAACACCCTTTTTACTGCATGCCCTTTTTGGATTGATCTGACCCGAAGGTCGAAAAACCTATGCAAAGCCTTTCAGGGCGTGCTCTATTAAGACTTATATGGCGCTATTTCAGCACTTTCACGGTAAGCCCTTTTTAGCATCATGATCATATCCAATTCTAACCCTTCTACAGTATGCTTTATTTGGATTGATCTGTCCCTGAAGTCGAAAACCTACCTGAACCCTGTAGGGCATGTGCTGTTAAGACCTATATGGCCCTATTTCAACCCTTTTACGGTATGCCCTGTTTACCCTAATGATGACAACCACTTTTAACCCTTTTTCAACATGCCTCACATAGACTGATCTGGTCATGATGTCTATAACCTACCTGAAGCCTTTTACACTTATAAAGAAAAAGGAATAACACTATACCAATTGATGTATAACAGAAAGAGATGCAGACAAGCCGAAATTAAGCATGTTGCCCAGCATCGGACTTTAAAGAAATTTCAATATTATCAGGAATTTAGTAAAGCAAAAACGCTTGTTTAAAGATATAATTCCAATCAGACAGTTATCAAGCCGACCCTGATCTTTTGTCTACTTAAGAAATCTCTACCGCCGCACCGTTTGTTCGATGTCGATGGGTTTCGATATTTGTATATTCTTTTTTATAGGTATTTTAGTTTGTATTTTTTTGTATATAACAGTAGATCATGTAATGTATCGTGTAATTTCTGTGTAACTTCAATTTGTATTACAAACAGCTTTGGACCTCTTTATTACACCCTTCAGGTAGGTACCAAACGTTGGGAAAGTCCGAGTCTCCAACTACATCACATCGGACTTTCTCTGGGTACCCGAAGGGTGAATAGCAACAACAGAAGCGTTGACCAAAGGGTCTGTTTTATTTAGAAGCGTGTCCTATTTTGGTGCAGACTATTTAAGTCTTAGACCAAAGGTAGAGATCACCGAGCGGAATGACCTAGAGGTCTAGACCATTGCTTAGCATTTGGGAGGACGCCGGTTCGATTCCGGGTCCGTCCGTCTGCCTTGGTCCAAGTTTTTATGTGGTTTCCTTGGATCACTTAGGCAAATGCTGAGGCAGTAATATTCCACAGATAATCTTTCACTCTCTTCTGTCTTCACTTCGTCCGTCTCATCTTTCTCACGATTCCTGAAAGCAGGCTGAAGAGGGCCTTCCGCCCTACCTTCCGGCATAGTCCGGAGGGACTGCCCGCCCACCAGCATTACTGGCTGGTGGGAATGAAACACCCAAAAGTTTTTAAAGTTTTAGGTAGAGATCACCGAGCGGAATGGCCTAGAAGTCTAGGCCATTGCTTAGCATTTGGTAGGACGCCGGTTCGATTCTGGGTCTTCAATCAATTCAATATTCAATTTATATACCAATTCAAGTCAATTTTATCCAACTTAAGCAAATAGTGTAAATAGTGTAAATAAAGTGTAAAAGGAAAAGCAGTCTTTTAATTCGTAGTGAACAACCAAAAGAGCCTTCGGCAGGATACCGCCACATACATCATCAACAATCAAATTACCACAAACACATCAAACACCGTTTACTGTTTTTCGGTTAACTCTTTTTACTTTGACTGTACTACTAATAAAGAATTTTTTAAGTTAACAAGGACGTGTTCAAAACGCAGCAAATGATTATAGTCCCAAATGGAGACAAGAAAGAAGATGCGTCCATTCTCACAGATAATTTATTTTGGACTGTATCAATTTTGATCGTTTCAACTATGAGTCTATAGCCGTCGTCCTGAGGAGACACGAATGTAGCGGAACATGGAGTGAAGTAAAGGGAAAATATATAACCTTATTTATGGTGCCCTAGATTTTATTCATTTTGACTGCTTTTGCAAGATAATGTCTCATTCTTTGACTTCATTGCACTTTCGGTTTATGTTTGTAACTCCTCCAGAATCTACCATTTGGATGTACAGGCCAAAAGCTGTCCATGCTCATTAGGGTTCTTCAAACAAAATTTTTAATTTTTTTTTCTAACTCTTACCCCCTCAAATGTTTCTATTTGATGTAAAAAACATTCTCGCCAAACATGAGCCCTGTAGCTCAAATCTAAGGGGTCGCTATTTTTATTTTAGTTTCCCATTTAATTAACATAGGAAAAATTCTTTTTTGTTTTAAATTGAATTTACACATAATTTACGCAATTTTTTCCAAAAAACCGTTTCATATTCTCAAAGTTGAGTCTTTGAGCTTTACAAAACTCTAAGACAAAGTATGATTATCTTTACAAAAAGACTAGTTACAGCCATTTAAAAATTACTAAATTTTGAAATTTGAAAAAATAGCTTGCAATTATTTTTTTTTTCATAATCCTCAAAATTTTTAATCAAACTATTAGTAAGTATTGTATTTTCACAAATTTCAAAAATGGTTCTCAGTACAATACAATACAATATAATACCTAATATGTTAATTAAATGGGAAACTAAAATAAAAATAGCGACCCCCTAGATTTGAGCTATAGGGCTCATGTTTGGCGAGGATTTTTTTACATCAAATAGAAACATTTGAGGGGGTAAGAGTTAGAAAAAAAAATTAAAAATTTTGTTTGAAGCACCCTAATGCTCATGCTTCTTTAAAGCGAAAGGTTACTTTCCTAAAGAGCTGCCTGGTCTTTCGAAACTAACTTATATTGTTTTTTTTGTGGATTACCTTTCTTGAAAGTTTAATTTCTTTTAATGATTATCCATTCCTTTTGAAAGCGCCTCTGGTAGGAGCATTAAATGAAAAACGTTCTAATGAAAATGGAATCGTACTTACACGATCTCTTTAATGCGTTATTTTAAAAGAAACATATTAAATTTTGTTTTTGCAACGTCTTTCCTAGATTTACATCGACAATGTTACGTAAACCTAAATCTTAAGTTCACTTTTAATCGAAAATTTTCCTGCTGATAGAAATCGTTGACTTGAGTCTCTTAATCGAAGACGGTTAAAAAACACTGTCTCGGTAACTACACCTAAGATAAACTGAAGTATCTAAAGTGAACAGCGGGAATAATTTTTAATTTTCTCTTTGGAATAGGATTAACGAGAACGAGAGGACGTTTTCCTTAATACGTCTATTTAAATGCATTCCCTGCCGAGATATAAGGATCTCCAGAAGCCAAAAGGGAAAGATTAAAAACCAACAGTTTCCTTCGTTAACTCACAATCACTACTTTGTTTGCAAAACGAAACTCTTATTAACTACCTAATTTAGTACATTAACTTGGCTAAATCGGATTAGTAACGAATAATAGGGTAACAATAATATACATGCATGCATGTAGATATCATGCATAATTTTCAAAAAATACATACTCGATTCTAATGTAATGTTATTCGTAAATTTAGAAGAATAAAACAGCATTACCACAAATAATTTTAATCAGTCTCGCGTTGATGATGCCCACGTGTGAAGTGGGCGAAACACGTGTCCGCTCATATAAAATTATTTGTGATAATTAGGGGTGAGTGTTCCTTTTAATTTTTTAAGCATTAACAGAAATTTGTGGAATAAATTGTTTTTCTTTTTTCTCATTGAGTAGTTTTATTTTTTTTCCGTCACTCTTTTTTCGTAAGTTGTTGAATCTTGAATCTTACGTTTGTTAATAAACTAAGATAAACCTTTTAATTCCTAAAAGAAAACGTTGATAATATGGGATAGTTTATAAAAATGTTTTGTTGTTGATTGGTTCATTTCAAATANATTTCTAATTGCAGTGAAACTTGGAAAATTAAAAAACCGTACGTTATATCAAAAGTTCGTTAAAAGAGAATCCAATACTTACAGTCGATTGGGACTTTTGAAATGATACGTTATAACCGAGTTCGTAATATGCGTGTAAGTTATGAATAAGTGTTACTGCATATTTTTTTTGAAGATTCCTCCTGTTTCAACTTTTACACACTTTTTATTGTGGCACAAAGGAAAAAGAAATTGAATAGAATACAAGTAGATAATAAATAAAATGTTTTGCTTACAAAAATTTTATCGTTTAATATGTTATTATTATTATCTTTGCATTCAGACAAAACAACTTTATTTTTAGAAAATTATTAGGGTTCTTTAACTTTCAGGAAACATCCATCAAATAGGTCAAAAATGTAAAATTTAAGCATTTTAGCTTCCCTATTAACGATAAACCATTAAGAGTTCATATAGCCATACATACCTATTAAGTATTGTAACTGTCTACAACGTTTATTCTTTTATAAAAATCAGTGGCGTAGCGTGAGTTTTTGCCGCCCGGGACGAAACCTAAATTTGCTGCCCTTTCTACTTTCACAATTACGTAAAATGTTTTATTTACTTTTTTCCAGCCTTTTTGTTTGAACAAAAAAAACACTAATGTTATGAATTTTACTTCACCTCCAAATTATCTAGCAATGCTCTTGTAACTTTTAAATTGCAAAATATGTTGAAAACTGCGATTTTAATTTTTCCTTATGACTGGGAAATTAATAAATTTAAGTAACTTACTTCATTTATATATACATAATTCAGAACAGCAAAGAGGATTCTGAAGATTATCTCAAGATTTGTAAAGAATTGTAATTATTTCGGTTTTTCAAATAGATTAGACATTAGACCATCACTATTCCGATCTTCTTTCCATACCTTTGCAATGTATTAAAGTTTATAGAATTGTTATCAATTTAAAATGAATTTTAGAATATACAGATATCGGGTGATCTACAGCTTAGGCTTATGCGATTGCATATCCTTATGTCTATATAATAATATAATTATGATTTTTGAGGAATGAATAGCTCCGGATTCTGTCATGGCTACACGCACCTAATGACGCCCTATACTATACTGTACTGTACATGCATATCTATCTATATCTTATTACGATGTAAACATATTGAAATACATACTTATCTGACTAATAAATAATGTATACAACCTATCGTCTTTCTGATTAACAATAACGTGTTGTTTTGTTCACGACCCATTTCGCACGTTCGAGAAACTTCGGAAAACTCAATTTCTCAGTAACTTTTGCCAAAGAGCATGCGATTCCATTGATATTGGACACGTCGTAATGACGAGGAGATTTCAAAAACGGATCAATATTTTTCGTCTTCAAATATTGAATGGTGTAAGCTAATGTTTGGCAATCCCACAAATTGTCATTTAAAGTCAAACTTTTTAGGGTTGGGACGTAAGTGACAACACTGTAAGTGTCCAAGAACAATGGACCGCTTATACCAGACAGGTCCAAGTGGGCCAAGTTCGTCAACGAAGCAAACGCATGAATGGTGGACTCGCCGATTTCTTGAAACTCGTTGTAACCCAAATTGAAACTCACCACGCTTCGTAAACCAGAAAGTTCTCCATAACTGAAGGCAGTCAGTTTATTGTGAGAAAGGTCAAGGTCCTTCAAGTTCAAAAGATGCTGGAAGGCTCCCAAAGGAATGTAACACAAATTGTTGTTATTCATATCTAAAACTTCTAACATACTCAAGTACTGGAACGAATCAACGTGAAGAATTCCAATGTTATTGTGAGATAAATTTAGTGCGAGAACGCTGAAAATTCCTTCAAAGACCCTGGGAGGTATCTCTTTAAGTTGATTATTATTCAAGTATACAGTAACTGACTCAAATCCGTTTAAAAAGTGTCTTTGCAATTGATTCAGATGGTTGTCTTCCAAATGCAACTCGTATAACTCCCTCAACCCAAAAAATGCATCTGGTAGAACACTTTGAATAATATTATTCTGAAGATAGAGGTAAGAAAGAGTTGGTAAACTACTGAAAGCCATGGGTTCTATTTTTTGAATTCCACTCTCGGAGATATTTAAAGAAGTTAACCCACCATTTTCCGGAAATGTGTCCGGTTTAAAAATTGGTATATTACATCCAACACACTTAAGGTGGTAATTTCCGTAATATTTGTTAGGGAATTTATCGGTTATTCCTGTACAAAAGTAACTTTTCTTGTTGTTGTTAAATACACATTCAGCTCCAAAACAGACACTTATAAAGCAACTTGTTAGGATAAGAATGGCCTGCATTTTTGAGAACAAACATTCACTGTTATAAACGCGATTTATTCAATGAAAGTTCGCGAAATAGACTGAACAATATTACATGAAAAATTGAGGCCAAACGGTTTTACGTACATCGTTGTTCCAATTATTCCTTATTTACGCGAAACGACAGAAATTCCTAGAGTCAATTGAATTTAAGATGGTCTGTTTCTTATTTCATTGTCTTTTATGAAATTTAAATGTTTTATTCATTACCATACTTATAAACAGATTTGAATTTCAAAATTTTTTTTGCCTTGATTTTAATTAAGTAAGTTGTATAACTTGTATATTGTTTAAACAACTGCCTATACATATATTAGTTAGGAAGTTTAACTGTTATAATTATGGAAAGTAAGAGTTTTTCAAAATGTTAACTCTTAACCTATCCACTAACTACTTCGATTAAACAGAAAAGAAAGAAGAATGATTCTTATTTCTCACTCTTCTAAATGTTTTAATTTAATTAAAAAAAGCACATATCTAAATTTTCTCTAGGAAAACTAAGGACACGAATCTTAATTTTCTTGAACTTGAGACTAAAATTTCAAACACTGTTAATTAATTGATATAAAGACATTGAGTTATAAAAAAACGTTGGGAATGATCCACTAAAAAAAATTGTATTTCTTATCTTATATCTTTTTGTGGTTGAATGTATGATAAAAATTATTAACAAAAATTTCTAATTGCAGTGAAACTTGGAAAATTAAAAAACCGTACGTTATATCAAAAGTTCGTTAAAAGAGAATCCAATACTTACAGTCGATTGGGACTTTTGAAATGATACGTTATAACCGAGTTCGTAATATGCGTGTAAGTTATGAATAAGTGTTACTGCATATTTTTTTTGAAGATTCCTCCTGTTTCAACTTTTACACACTTTTTATTGTGGCACAAAGGAAAAAGAAATTGAATAGAATACAAGTAGATAATAAATAAAANATCTTGAGGCTTCATTCCTATTGTTCTATGTTTTGTATTATTGTACTGACTAACTACATCAGCTAATATGCTTATCCACTTGTAATTTCCGTTTAAACTGAAACGTTTCCACATGATATTTTTTAAAGTTCTATTTACTCTTTCAACAATTGAAGCTTTTTTCTCACTGTATACGTTGTAATGATTTACACCATATTTTTCTACCATACTTTTAAAATCTTTATTAAAAAATTCAGTTCCTTGATCAGTTTGTAGATTGTTTGGAGTTTGAGTTTTAAAAATAGATTCCATTACCTTTGACACTTCCCGAGCTGATTTAGTTTTCAAAGGGTAAGCCCACACAAATTTTGAAAAACAATTGATAACTACTAATATGTACTTGTAACCTTAAACAGGTTATACCATCACGATCCTGATCGTCAGTCTTTTATTGTGGCTAGGAGTATATATATTCCTTCCATACCTTTGCAATGTTTTAATGTTTCGATAATAATTCTACATCATTTTGCTGATGACATTTATGAAATTTAATATGATAAATGTGAATAGTATATAAAAAAGTGTCTTGCTTATAATACAAAGGCGAAATCTATAGTCCACCAGACTATTCATGTTTCTACTTTTTGGAATGTTTTCCCACAATTATTTTTTACGATACCAGTCTTTGTACTGACGACCTTATGATAATGATGAATTCTGCATCACCTTATAGATAACATTAGTAAGATTTGATTTATAATATATAGGCGAAATCTATAGTCCACCAAACAATTCCTGTTTCTTGCTTTTGGTTTGTTGCGATTTCAGCTGATATAATCGTAGGTATTCTACGATGTATATTTTTGTGCTGTGGGAACTTTGACTGGCTGTGACTAGCTGTCTTCGTCCCTGTCTAGTCCAGTCAAAATAGACATTTGACTTATCCAAAATTCGCATAGAGCTGAAAATTGGCAGAGACGTTAAATACGTCATTATAAATAAAATGTCAAAAGTCCCCTTCGATCGTACTTCTGCAAAAAAATTTATTCAAGGTCAAAAGTGCAAAATTAAGGTTTTTACCATTTTTCTCGAAAACGGTAAGTTTTATCGTAAAAATAGGTCAGACAAAATTTGTAGATCATATAATTATCTACAAAAATGGTCCAGTCACTTTTTCACTTGTGACTCACCATTCGTGAGATATCGCGGTTTTAAGCATTAGAAAATTCATATTTTACATAATATGCACACATTTTGACATTTTATTTATAATGACGTATTTAACGACTCTGCCAATTTTCAGCTGTATATGAATTTTGGCTAAGTTATGACTTATTTTTGTCTATTTTGACTGGACTAATCATACCGCGAACCGTTAAGATTCGTCCTTCAGTTTTTGTCATATTGGCTATGAATAAATGCCGTTTTTACTGATAGATACAAGACAGTTGCTTTTCACAGATTTTTATCAAAATCTTATTATTTTTGCGAACCGAGACGGTAATGTACAAATTATTAAAAACTGGTACAAATACCGCGTGCCTCCCCTCCCAAACTACACCACTGATAAAAATTGTTTGTTGTCCTATCAAGAGAATATGATTTTAGAAAAAACTGAAATTAAATTTTTCAGATGTTTTATTCCAACACTAACGATAAGATTATTTCGGCTTCTTATAGATAAAGGCAAGTAATAACTGCAGGCAGGTGTGTTAAAAAAGTACCTATCAATTTTTAATTGATTAATCTACTTCAAACTGATAAATGTAGATCAGCATTGTTATCAATAATTAGTTTAATAACCAATTAATAAGGAAACAATGCTGTTTTACAATTCTGAGTAGTTGTAAATTGATAATCAATATCTTCGTTCATCTTTAAGTATGTGCAGTACACATGCGTAGAAACTACACTACTGAATAACGCATAATGAATGAATAAAAAACTGAAACATTGTAAAATTTTGCTATATATATTTTATATTATATCCAAAATCCGATTAAGGAATCAAAATAAGACCATTAAAAAAAAAAAAAGAAAACCAAATTTCAAAACCATCTATTTAATATTTAATATACAACATTCAGAGGAAGGTGAGTTCGAATTTACAATTAATTGCACTTTTCCCAAATATTTTCTAATTCAAATATCTTGACATCAACATCAAGCGCACAACTGCCTCTCGAAAATATGGACAACAAAGGGGATTGATTGGGGTAAATTCTACTTGTAAAAGTGATTTCTCCATCGTTAAGGAACACTTCAAGTGAAGAAGCGTCCAAAAAAATCTGCATCTTCAAGTAAAGCAATTCTTCAAAACCAGTTTTCCTCGGATCTTCATCACCTCGATCCAAATTAAAGGTTTTGTCTGTTTCGTTGAGATAAAATTTCACCACCAATCCTTCTTGGTCATCCAACACAAAACCGAATTCATCAATATCGGCGCAAAGTTTCGTATCAATATCAATTTCGGCTGCTTTTAGTTCGCATATTTCTTCCATTCCGTTTACAGTAATCAATTTACTAAACAGAAGACTTTTCCGAAGAAGTTTCGTCTCCCGTATAGGTTTCTGAATTAGTTTTCCTTCTTCTAAATACAATTCGCGAGGAATTGTGAGCGCGCCTGCCCAACCTTCTTCACTTTCAGGGAAATTCGATTCCCACATTCCCATCCATGCTACACCAACTCTCCTTTTGTCTGGTGTTTCCATAGTCTGCATTGCATAGAAATCATGGCCAAAATCCATTTCAGTAAAGTGTCCATAACTGAAGTGGTTATATTCGTAACAGTAACCACCCACAACGTATCCTGTTTGATAAAGATTAGCGTATTTGTCGCCATCCCTTTCCAGTCCTTGCGGTGAAAAAATCAAAACATATGATTCATTTAATTTGAAGAAGTCGGGACATTCCCACATGTAACCCAAACTTCCATTCCAAGACGATGCCAGGACTCCAATGTAATTCCAGTTTTTAAGATCTTTCGATTCGTAAAGAACGACTCTACCATTTTCTTTAGCTTGATTTCCCATCAGCAAATACCAATTATCTTCGTGTTTCCAAACTTTAGGATCCCTAAAGGCTGATCCTCCATCTTCTGGTGGAAATGGAATGATGGGATTTCTAGAAAACTTTTCAAATTTTACTCCATCACCGCTTAGAGCCATGTTTTGATTTTGTGAAGAATAGTTGGTGCTGTTGTTTTCATCGACGTTCCCAGTATAAAATAAAATTAAATTGTTCCCATCTACAATGGCCGTTCCCGAAAAACAACCATTCCTGTCGTAGGGTTCTCCAGGAGTTAGAGCATTTGGAAGGTACTTCCAATGCACTAGATCTTTGCTTTTTACGTGACCCCAGTGTACATTTCCTGGTGTTACTTCATAAGGATTATGTTGATAAAAGATATGGTAGTCACCATTAAAAAAAGAAAAACCGTTAGGATCATTCATCCATCCTGATGAAGCCATAATATGATAGTGCAATCTGTACTTAAGATTTTCATCGTTCGCCAAAGTCACTATTTCCTCATTTCCGAAGCAATTTTTTTTTAAACTTATGAAAATCAGAATAAATTGAAACTGAATCAAACGCATGTTGGCTTCACTGTGATAAATAGTTGACTATTAAGAATATAAATGTGTCTGTTTTACAATGCTTAACTTTTAATATGCATCGTTGACCAACCAAAACATAGATTGTTTTGTTTCCTACATAACATACTTAGTAAAACTATAAGACATCTAGATAAATATTCAATTTTACGCCTTTGGATTTTTGGTGCTCTATTCCTAAATTATTTATCAAATTAGTTCAAGTTTAATGGATTATTTGTCTTAGTATTTTGTATACTAAATTGTTTGTCAATAAGATAATTGAAAACAGAGTAAGAAAGCTCAAATTTAAATTTTTGAGAATTTTTAAAGAAGAAAACTTTGTGTACGAATTCAAACAAAAGCAATATCAAACTGAAATGTCTAGCGTAGAAAACTATTACACGCAAAAAAAGTTAATAGTTTTTCCAAGGAAAAATGAAAAGGTAAATCTTGCAGAAAAAAATGATGAAGATGGATGTAATTTGAGTTGTATTGTAAACGTTTTTCAATGTATTATTACAGGTATGCGTACTTTATTCATTATAATTTTCCGTAAGTATTAAATTACTTATCGTTAGTACCTACAGTGTCACCGGGGCCATTATGGTGAGATAAAATCTGCGTAATCGTATATAATAAGAGAGTAAAATGTCGCACGTATATATGTATTGTAATGAAAAATTCCAACAAATTATAGGAAATAATAAATTAAATATCATATAAAGTATACTGGTGATATTTATATATATATTTGTTTGTGTAGAATAGAATATACGTGCGAGTCAATTTTATACCTTTTTTAATTTGAAAAATTTTACAAAAATTCAAACAAAGTAATTTTCCAAAATGACTGTTTCTTTTAAGTGTATAAAGTTAAGTTTTGGAACACGGAAGAAATGAAAAACGAAAATTTACCTAAATATTATAGCGACATTTATAATTTATCCGACTAGCCTGTTACTTCGTAAGTGAAAAAAATAAATATTACAATAAAATTAATGATAAAAGGCTCTACTCGTTGAAACTCCATAATCAATTAAAGGAAACGAAAGTTTAAAAAAATATATATACTTTACTTTCGTTTCCTTTAAAAATTATGATTTGGACCCGAATTTGTAAAAATAAAATCCCAGCAGAAATAAATTTACTAGGTATTT